GAAATGCCTTCAAAGCACAGAAACAAGCTAACTGCTAGTTTATGAAATTGTGAATTACAAAGTTGTAAGCTCCAGGTCTATTTCAACATCCTTCAACAATGAGAGGCAGACTTCAGGCCTTGCAGGTTTTGCTCCCCCCACCCTAGAATTTCAAGTTCTATCAACCAAAGCCAGCTGCACAATAGTTGCTTGAGGGATGAGAGAGAAAGAGAGGAGGATGCGAGAATTACAGAATGGCATCTATGAGAGCTCATGTTCAACACAGGAGTTAGTTTTCAGTCCCATAACCAAGCTTATAGTTCTCTTTTACAGAAATCCACTCCTGTTTTTCCCCTCCATGTTTTTTCCAGCAGGCTAATTTAGGAAGGAGGGTGGAAGCTTTTTATCATTGCTGCTGTTTAACAACAAGCTCTTGACTATGTACTGCAAACTACACAGAGCTGTACCAGGAGATTCTGATCCATTTTCTACTCTCTCCTGTCCTAAAGGCTGTATTAAGCTTGTCCCAGTGTGTGGTCTAAAGGACAATGACACAACCATCTTGCTGAAACTAAGCAGGTCTGGTCAACACCTCAGTGGGAACCCCACAGACATCCATTATGGGGAAAAGGCAAGATATAAATGTAAACATTGATAGACTAAGGCCACAGTCACATCATACATTTAAAGCACTATGATGCCACTTTAAAAAATAATGACTTCTCCTAAAGAATTCTGGGAGCTGTAGTTTGTTCAGAGTGCTGAGAGTTGGGAAGCCCCTATTCACTTCCCAGAGTTACAATTCCCAGGGTGGTTTAGCAATCAATCCCTGTTCCCAGGGAACTCTGGGAATTGTAGCTCAGTGAAGGGAATATGGGTCTCCTAACAGTTTTCAGCACCCTTAACAACAACAGTTTCCAGGATTCTTTGTGGGGAAGCTGCAACTGCTCCAAGTGGTATCAGAGTGCTTTAAAATGCATGGTGTGATTGTGGCTCAACTGAGCAATGGTTCTTCTAAAGACAAACATTGTAACCTAGTAGATCAGATTCGTTTATTTGTATCTAGTTATCAGACCATGGGTAAACGAAAGTTTGTAACAGGATGATGGTGACACAAGGTGACATCTGTGGATCATCAGCAGTGAGTCCTAATACAAGCCCACCGGTAGAAAGCTGCACAGTTGTACCTTGGGTTGAAGTTGCTTCAGGTTGAGTGCTTTCGGGTTGCACTCCTCGGTGACCCAGAAGTAACGGAACGCGTTACTTCCAGGTTTCGCCTCTCACGCATGCGCAGACGGTCAAAATGACGTCACGCGCATGCGCGGAAGTGGCAAATCGCGAGCCGTGCACGCGCAGACGCGGGTTGCGTTTACTTCAGGATGTGAATGAGGCTCCGGAACGGATCCTGTTCATATCCAGAGGTACCACTGTACAGTGGTACCTCGGGTTAAGTACTTAATTCGTTCTGGAGGTCCATACTTAACCTAAAACTGTTCTTAACCTGAAGCTCCACTTTAGCTAATGGGGCCTCCTGCTGCTGCTGTGCCGCCGGAGCACAATTTTTGTTCTCATCCTGAAGCAAAGTTCTTAACCTGAGGTAATATTTCTGGGTTAACGGAGTCTGTAACCTGAACCGAATATAACCTGAAGTGTATGTAGCCCGAGGTACCACTGTATATCAAAGGAAGTCTGCAGTCAGGAACTGCTAGAATCTGTGGACAGTTGAACTGTTTGACGAATCTTTGAACTGCAGGAGACAGCTTCTCAGTGAAGTGCCGTCAGGTCATGGACCTACCAGACCTCCTGGGTCCTTCTGGACAGGAAGGAGCATTAAGAGGGCTTCCTGTTTTAATTTAGCCTCACCTGAGCAACAAGGCCTTCCTGATTTCTGTCTGTCCTTGATTCTGACTTAATGGCTCCACACCAACGGTTAGCCAACTTGGGTAGCTGACAGGCCCAATCTACTGCCCTCTCGGCCAGGGTCATGGATGCTTTTCAGCAGTGGGCAACAGTGCCATTTTTTAAGGGGAGCCAAGTTCAGCTCCCATCCTTGGTGACTGGCCGCCATCTTAAGCTACTCAACATGTAATGCCCTGGCCCACAGAACTTTGAAATGTATTGATTTTATAATTCCATTGTCCAGGTAGGACTATACCTGACCTGGTTGGGAAGCGGGCAGAACAAACACCATGGCGAGGGTCTCCTGAAGTCTAGTGCTGGCCTTGTCTGGCGTGCACCTTGACCTTACCTTGCCATTTTCCCCTTTGGTGCTGACTTAGCTCTTCATTCCTGACTCTGGACTCAGCCCTGACACAGGCAGTCGATGTGAAATCTGGAAGGCAGACAGCAGATACATTGCTCTCTAGTGGCAGCCTAGACTTTAGAAAGGATAAGTGACCTGGCTGCTGTTATCAGACAAACGTAGTACTTGACCATATCCAGCAATGGTGCAAAGGACTTCTGTGGGCTCAACTGAACTTCCTATCCTATGTCTGCCAGGACACCCCCTCCATTACACCATCAAAATCATGTCTGGAGGGTTTGGGGACCCTCTGCAGCAGTTTTGGGGGTTGCACAGGGAGGTGAGGAAACGGAAGTCTCATTGTGCCAGCAGAACCCAGTTGGCACTGCAGTGGATGCAACCCTTAATTTTCTGTATATTACTAGTTCTTTTGATACTTCTTAAAATTATTGCCCATAAATAGAAAGGGGATCCTTGGGTCCTTGTCATCTGTTCATCACAGCCCGCTGCATTAAGCCACTTTGACAACCAGAATCTTCCATGTACCCTCCCTCCCTCCCCTCTAACCCAACCATCCTCTGGAGAGCAGCTTGACAAGTGGCCATAAATCACTGGTGCAGATTAGGCTAATTAGGTTCTTAATGGCCCTATTGAACACAGACCTCCACGCCAGATGCCCCCACCCTCTCCACAGCCATTCGGAGCTTTTGGAATAAAACTCTTTAATGTAATTTTCAACTTGCTTTTCCTTGTATGATGGGAGCAGATACTACCCACAGACCTGCAATGGTCCCCAGCTTAGGAGATAGACAGTTTTGTCTCTGCCATCATAAAATAGTATAGAGTTGGTTCATTGACTAGATCACAGGTTTTTTTTTAATTATTAAAATATATTATTGTACCTAGGGTTGTCAGGTCAGGAGCATCCGAGACACTGAGATTTCAGGACCCAAACCTGAGACCTGGGGTGGCCTCTGGTGACTTGTTTTGCCTGAAGCATCTCTTCCTTGGTGGACCTCAAAAACATCTTGCTTGTGTTGGAGGCCTTGCTCGTGGTTGTCCCACCTTCTCAAGTGAAGCAGGTGGCAACCTTTCAGTCTTGGCACCTTGTCTTTGAAAACCCTCCCTTTTGTCCATCTGTCAGGCTTCTTTTCTGTTGCTTTTCTTTTCCTTGTAGCTCAAGGTGGCCTTGCATATTTCTCCCCCTCCACCTTTTATCATCACAACAAACCTGTGAGGTGGGTTAGGCTGAGGGACATTGACTGGTCCCAGGCCATCCAGTGGCTGAATTAGGGATTCTGGCTTTTAAATGGGGTTTGGTGTGTGATACTTAAGTAGAATTGAGTTTTTGTTCTTGGTTTGCTTGCTCGTTTTATATTGAAGGTTTTATCGTATTGTTAGCTGGCTTGGAAATCCATGCAATTAAGAAGCAGGGTAGGTTGTAGAGGTGATGCAATGTGATAGATTTTGGGTTTTGACGTATTCCTCTTTTATGGATAATAAAGGTCAGCCCTCTAGTTCTTCCTCTGTAATGTTCTTCCTCTGTAATGAAGGACTAGAGAATTGGACTTCAGTTATTTATATAATTACATTTGTGATTCACTTTTCATATCTCAGAGTGATATCACAATAAAAGGATCAGCAATAAAAACAATAGCATAATTTCATGTATCAAGATGATATCATATACAACTAAAAGCAAATTCGTAAGTGAAAACAATTCCATAAGTGAAAACACTTCCAGAAGTAAAAAATAATAATTTCAAATCCGGTGCAGATGCAACCTGTTCTATCTTATTCAGTAAGACAGATAATTTGTGAAAATGTTCAGTGGAGCAAGTTAACTAAATAAATATTGAACCTGTGCTATCATCTGCTTTGAGCTAACTTGCCATGCCGTCTTTGAAAGAAGTGAGTACAGTGGTACCTTGGGTTAAGAACTTAATTCGTTCTGGAGGTCCGTTCTTAACCTGAAACTATTCTTAACCTGAAGGATCACTTTAGCTAATGGAGCCTCCCGCTACCGCCGCCGTGCAATTTTTGTTCTTATCCTGAAGCAAAGTTCTTAACCCAAGGTACTATTTCTGGGTTAGCGGAGTCTGTAACCTGAAGCATTTGTAACCCAAGGTACCACTGTATTATGTTGTGTGACATTTGGTCCTGACCACACCCCTTCAGTACGCACCATTGCTGCATCACACTGTTGACTCACGTTAAGTCTGTGGTCTGCTAAGACCCCGAGATTCTGTTCACATGTACTACTGGCAAGACAGGTCTCCCTCATCTTATATTTTTGCAGCTGCTTCTTCCTGCCTAAGTGCAGAACCTTACATTTGTCATGACTGAAATTCACTTGGCCATATCCCCTGTTGCTTTCTGAAGCTGTTTGCTAAGGTGGTGGGGGGGGGTCCACAAGAGATACAAAGCATTAGCTCCCTATTTCCTTCCCTTCCTCCCCATGTAATTGGAGTGCTTCCCTCATCTTTTGATCTTCCTTACCCTCTTATATCTTTCCTGTGCTCACACCTCCCTTCAGACCGTGATTATTCCTAATGAATCCTCTTGCGCTGTGATGTATTTGCTCAACACTGGCCAATGAATCACTCCAACATCTCTGTCTGTAACTAATAGTCTGTGGGATTTCTCATTAATTATGTGCCTGTAACTTTGCTACTTTTTTTTTGGGTGTGTGTATGTGGTAGGGGCATGTTCTGAGAGATGCCGCAGAATGAGTAAGCCTCTGCTCTGTCCTCACCCTTCCCCTCTCCCTCTCTTACAGATCGCAGCCCTGGAGAGGCAAATATTCGACTTTCTGGGTTATCAGTGGGTGCCCATCCTGGCTAATTTTTTACACATCATGGCTGTCATCCTGGGCGTCTTTGGCACCATTCAGTACAGATCCAAATACCTCATACTGGTAAGTACAATGAATAGCGAGGAATAGCCATTTTGGAACCCCTCCCGCTGATGTTGTTTGGACTTCCAACAGCCCCAGCAACAGGGATGGGGAATATGTGGCCCTCCAGGTGTTGCATACATTTTATGAAATAAATATATACAGTGGTACCTCTAGATACGAACGGGATCTGTTCCAGAGCCCTGTTTGCACCTTGAAGTAAACGTAAGTAGTGACAGCACGTCTGCGCACGCACGCACGTGTCGCTTTTTGCCGCTTCTGCGCATGCGCGTGACATCATTTTGAGCGTCTGCACATGTGCAAGCGGCGAAACCCGGAAGTAATGCACTCCGTTACTTCCGGGTTGCCGAGGAGCGCAACTCGAACGCGCTCAACTCGAAGCGTATTCAACCCGAGGTAATCTCCTGACTGTAAAACAACAAGAACCACCACCTCAGAGTGGTTTTGACAACAACAACAACCTCAGAGTGGTTTTGACTCCAGCTCCCACCAGACCAGAAAGTTGAGAAATCAAAAGTTGGGGTTGCAGTTTTCACTATTCAAGCTGAAGTAAATCCTTGCAGATTTGTCCTTAGGGTGTGCTGTCTCCCTATGATCTGTGCTGAGGACAGCCACACAAATGTGTTTCTCCTCTGCAGAGAAAGTCTCACTGAGTTCTGGTTCCAAGTACCAATAGATCCTGAGGGAAGGAACAGGGTAAATATTTAAGCTTGCCAATAGCCGCTTCATGAGAAACATAATCTGTGTGGGGATTTGAAGGGAAGAAAGGTCATTAGATCTTACGACACAAGGCTGGGGCAGATGTTCATTAACGGATGAAGTCTGGCTTGCTCGAGCTTATCCAGGTTCACAATCTTCAATTGCTACAACCCTGTGAGGTAGGCTAGGGTGAGAGGCATTGAATGTCCAAGCATCACCCACTGAGCTTTGTAGCTGAGTGGGGATTAGAACCCCAGTCTCCCAGGACTCAGTTCAATACTCTAACCCATGGGTAGGCAACATAAGGCCCGGGGGCCAGATCCGGCCCAATTGCCTTCTAAATTTGGCCTGTGGATGGTCTGGGAATCAGCATGTTTTTACATGAGTAGAATGTGTCCTTTTATTTAAAATGCATCTCTGGGTTATTTGTGGGGCATAGGAATTCATTCATTTCACACACACACCCAAAATATAGTCCGGCCCCCCACAAGGTCTGAGGGATAGTGGACTGGCCCCTTGCTGAAAAAGTTTGCTGACCCCTGCTATAACTCACGGGTAGGCAACCTAAGGCCCGGGGGCCAGATCCGGCCCAATCGCCTTCTAAATCCAGCCCGCAGATGGTTTGGGAATCAGTGTGTTTTTACATGAGTAGAATGTGTGCTTTTATTTAAAATGCATCTCTGGGTTATTTGTGGGGCATGGGAATTCGTTCTCCCCCCCCCAAAAAAGTGCGACCCCTCACAAGGTCTGAGGGACAGTGGACCGGCCCCCTGCTGAAAAAGTTTGCTGACCCCTACTCTAACCACTACACCATGGTGGCTCCCCCTGAAAAAAACACACACAAAAAAACCAGACTGATGGAGAGCCAGAGCATGTCTTTAGAGCAGCTCACCCCACAGTATATTGTTAACTGTCACTCTGCTCCTTTCTCTCCTTCTCTCCAGTATGCAGTGTGGCTCGTGCTTTGGGTTGGATGGAATGCATTCATCATCTGCTTTTACCTGGAAGTAGGACACCTTTCACAGGTAATTACCTCTGTAATCATACCGAGTGCACGCCCTTCTCGAACCACTGATCCGCCTGACAACCCAAGGCTTTTCCATCCATCATTTTTGCACTGCGATTGCTCAGTCAAATAGAGATGGGAGTTCAGGAGGTGGCTTGCATGTCAGGAAAGTGCCACGGCCATTTGGGGGAAATTCATTCCTTCTCTCGCTGGTGCTGATGTTGCCGAGCAGAATCGACTCGTCAGGCCAACGGGGAAATCCGAAACGTTGCCGTGCAATATAAATCGAGGGGTTTGGCGGTTTCTTTCTTATATTTTTGGAATGTGTGCACCTTCCTCCCCAAGGAGCAAGACTTTCTTTTAGTGGGATGCAAACATGCTGCAAGGAAAGAACGGTTAAATCCCCAGTCTAAAATACTCATGCGGTTCTTTTTAAAAAATAAATAAATAATAATTTTATTGGTTTTTACATTTTTATCACAATCATATCGTAACAAGTAACAACAAATTATATTCCCCACTTTCTCCCTCTCCCCTCATGACTTCCCTCAACCTCCCCTTCTGGCTTTTCCTCCCCCATATAAACTTGTCCTGCTTGCAATACTGTGCTTCAATATTATATTCTTTAAATTAAATATTGTTATATTCCTTTCATTTTAACCTCATCTTTATAGCTTCTATATTTACTTTGTTAGTTGTAAGTGTTTAGTCAAAACCTACTAGTGAGTCCATTTCTTTACATTGGTTCCGTAAATACAACATAAACGGTTCCCAGTCTTTTTTAAAATCTCTATTGTCCTTGTCTACTCGTGCTGTTCTACTAGGAAGGCAGAATGGGACTGAACGGCTGACTTTCCACTTTTGTTTAGCAAATTACTCCGTGTCTAGGGGAAAGCTGAGAAGGTTTGCAAGGGAATGAGAATGCTAGTGGGAGGAAGGGAGGAAAAATCTGGCAGGACCTTAGTGCTGTGGATCAATACCTGTTTATTCAACTAATTCAACTAAGTTTTCTTCAGAGTAGACGCAAGTAAATTATGAAATTAATGGACCTAACATAGTCATGCTTATTCATTTCAACGGGTCTACTCTGAGTAAAACTTAGTTTAATACCATGCATTAATTTTAGGGCCCAGTCCAAACCCCCAGTGTGTCACACTGGAAGTTGGGTGTGGATGGGACAGAGATATTTTGTGTATTATTACATTTTCATCCCACCTTTCCTCCAAGAAGTTCAAGATGGTATACACCAGGCACAGGCAAACTCGGCCCTCCAGATGTTTTGGGACTACAACTCCCATCATCCCTAGCTAACAGGATCAGAGGTCAGGGGTGATGGGAGTTGTAGTCCCAAAACATCTGGAGGGCTGAGTTTGCCTATGCCTGGTGTCCTCCTCTTCATTATATCCTCACAACAGCCCTGCAAGGTAGTTTAGGCTGAGAGTGAGTGACTGGCCCAAGGTTACCCCATGAGCTTCATGGCTGAGTGGGGATTTGAACCCTGGCCTCCCAGGTCCTAATCCAATACTAATCACTACACCACACTGTTCCACGTAAGACATACTGTCCATGTAGCCACTCTAGAGTCACATAATAAGAGGATGTAAGATGGTTTCCTGATCAATCTTTAGAAGCCCTTCTGAATATCTTCCTTGAGGGGATCAATGCGTTTGTTACTGAGCAGATGGCAAAATATCTAAATGTTGTTGTGCGTTTTAGATCTTTAGCAGAATCACACAGTCAGTTGCATCTGCCCTACTTAATGTTGGCATAAGGAAGTCATTTTCAACAGGGTTGATGTTTTGTGGAGTGGCAGACGTCACTCCTCTGTGCTTGTAAACAGGTTAAAGTGCTACACAGAAAGGCATTTGGCCAGAATGGCAACTTAAACTGTTGGAATATGCGCAGCTTGCGGATCTAACCTATAGAATAAAAGAACAAGAAGAGCATTCATTTAAAGAAGATTGGAAAATGTTTATTGAATATATGGGGAGTAATTGTGTACACTTGAAAACGTTGGCAGCTTTAAGATAAATTCAATAGTGTAAATAAGTTTTGATGGAAGTAACAATGGAATACTGAATGGCTTAGTTTATATAAAATATGCAAGGATCTATGATATGCAAAATGAACCATGGAAAGAGAAGAAGGGAAGTCACTGATATATTAAGGTTGTCAATTTAGATTCTAAATTGTAAAACAGAAAATTTGATTAAAATTATATATAAAAAGGGGGAGGGAGGCAATTGGCCCCCAGTCAACAAAAGAGCATAGGAATCTACCTTAAACCAAGTGAGTACATTGGTCAATCTAGCTCAGAATTGCCTGCACCGACCAGCCGATAATATCCAGGATTTTGGACCGGCTACATTTCCAATCCCACCTGGAGATGCTGGGGACTGAACCTGATGCTGAACCCAGAAGCAGTTCTCTTTGTGGTGGGGGACAGAAACAATATACTATCTTCTCAGAAGATGGGCAGCTGTTGCTTACAAGGAGGAAGAGGTGACAGAGAGGCTGCGCGGTGCAAAAGCGCCAGCAGGATTGGAGCAGCGGCTGGTTGCAGCTGATGGGAGTTGTCGTTCCAAACTTCTGGAAGGCACCAAGTTGGGGAAGGCAGACTTAAGGTCTTAAAAATGTGGATCTGTGTATAGTTCTGGTTGCCTCGCCTCAAAAGGACATTGTAGAGTTGGAAAAGGTTCAGAAAAGGGGAACCAAAATCATTAAGAGGAGGGAGAGACTCCCCTATGAAGAAAGGCTGCAATGTTGGGGACTTTTTAGTTTAGACTTGCGGGGATGCCCAAACTTTTTTCAAAGAGGGCCAGATTTGATGAAGCGAACATGCGTGAGAGCCGACCAAGGTTGTTGAGCTTTTTTTAGGACATATACTGCCATGGGGGCCCCCAAAACGGACTTTGGACATGCCTGGTTTAGAGAAAAGGGGTGACACAATAGAAGCTAATAAAATTTGGCATGGCACAGAGAGAGAAAACTTCTCCCTCTTTCAGAAGACCAGAACTTGTGGACATCCAATGAAGCTGACTGTCGGAAGTTTCAGGACAGATAAAAGAAAATACTTCTTTATGCAACGCATAGTTAAACTGTGGAACTCCCTGCCACAGGAGGCAGGGATGGCCACCAACTTGAATGGCTTTAAAAGAAGATAGGACAAATTCATGGAGGAGAGGGCTATTGATGGCTACTAGCCATGAAGGCTGAGCTCTGCCTCAAGAGCTGGAGGCAGCAGTGACCCGATGCACTTGGAACACTTTTGATTATCATGTGCCCAGCAGCATCTTACTCCTGAGAGTCCCTGGACCCCTCCAGACCAGTGTATTCCTCAACACACCACTGACATAATAATAGTGCATTAGTGATGGATTTATACTGGACCATCCAGACATTCATTAGTTGTGCTGTTGTGCTTCTCCAGTGTTACTGCATTGCTGCCATCTGTAAGGGGCACTTTTTGCGCTAGAGTGCAAGAAAAGTGGGGCAACTCACCACTGCCACTGAAACAAATGTTGCAGGGCTTCAACAGGAAGCTGCATGCACTGTGTCTGCCCCCAAACCTTTGCAGGCACCAACAGTTTGGAAAGCAGGACCATGTAGAACTAGCCTGGTGCTATCATGAGCACAAATAATCATGAATGCACCTCTGGATTGTGGGGGCGGGGCGGCTTGTGTCATATGCTCTTTAGAAGGACTGTAGCTTTTAGGACAATCACCTTTGTTGAAGAGATTTCAAACATGGAGCATGTCCTGGAGCTGTATCAGTGATGAAAGCAGCTCTTGAAAGTGAAACGAAAGCCCTTTGTCGAATCGTCTTCTTTTTTCTATTCTGTTTTGCCGAATAGGCCAGACATATTGATTAGAGCCAGCCGTTCCTGGAAGGAAGCCCAAAAGTGGCACTACTGTCTATCATATTTCAGAACAAGCCTTTCCCACATGCGTGTGTGTGTGTGTGTGTGTGTGTGTGTGTGTGTGTAATATTTAGGCTGTGTCCTGGTTCCATCAGGGGAGCCACAGTTGCCCCAGGCCTTGCTGGAGGCAAGAAAGAGGGTTTTTTGTGTGTCTTTGCTTATCCAATCTGTGGCCCACCTCATTCTAAAGGAAGCATAAAAAGGAGAATGGAAAGCTGTGGCCTCTTCGTCCATCTAGCTCGGGACTGACCAGCTCTTCAGGGTTTTCGATGGAGGATATTGCCAGTCCTAACTGGAAGTGCAAGGAAGTGGACATGTTAAGCAGATCCCATATGCAGTATCAGAGGTTTTCAACCTTTTTGAGTCTGCGGCTCCCTTAACCAACTACATGCCTTCTGCGGCACCCCTGTGGGGCTCAGGAGACCCTTGCCTACAAAGCTGGCAGCCTCTCACCCTTTCTCGAAGACCCTTCCTTGTGGAGTGTTCCCTCAGCCTCCTCTCCCCTCCCTCGGTCCTTGGGAGTCCTCTGGGCAGCCGCAGTTGCTGCCCCCTTGCCCCAAAGAGAGTTGCCTCCTCACACTGCCCCACAGGGGCCTGGGAAGCACCCCCTGGCCAGCCCCAGAGGCACCATTCTCCTGGGGAGCTTGTAGCTAGGGCTGCTGCAACAAAGAGGCAGAGACACAAGGGGACATCAGAGGAGAGAGGGAAGGAAAGAGGGACAGAGGGAAACAGGGACAGATGGTACCTTGGGGTGCCATCATTCAAGGCACCCCAGGGTACCACAACGCAGTGGTTGGAAACCACTACCATATATCCATAGATAACTCATTCTCCAAGATTGGAGACTTCTGTATCCCCAAACAGCACCATTCACAGTCAGGAGTGATTCGTCAACAGGTTTGGGGTGTCATCAGGGTTTGCAGGAGTACAAAAAGAGCTTGGAGAAAAAATACTAGTGGGAAAAGACCCTCCCACAAGCCAGCCAGTGCCCACAGAACACGGACTGAATGTTGCAGGTGGTGAGGATAGAATGGAGTGTTCTGGAACAGGGCAGGGGTGGTTGGAACCCTAAGCAGGAGCACTCCACACTACAGTGTTTTGTAGCAGTTCCCACTTTCAAAATGCCAGTAGTTAATTATAGCATTCACTGGATATATTTGCAGCTCAAGAAGAACTCAGTGGGTTCCCTGCCCCATCTGACCGGGTGGGGTACTAACAGTAATAGTAATGGTAATATTAGTATTAGGTAAAAAAAAAGGTAAAGAACCCCTGGATGGTTAAGTCCAGTCAAAGGTGACTATGGGGTTGTGGCGCTCATCTCGCTTTCAGGCCGAGGGAGCCGGCGTTTGTCCACAGACAGCTTTCCGGGTCATGTGGCCAGCATGACTAAACCACTTCTGGCACAACGGGACACTGTGATGGAAACCAGAGCACACAGAAACGCCATTTACCTTCCTGCCACAGCAGTACCTATTTATCTACTTGCACAGGTGTGCTTTCGAACTGCTAGGTTGGCAGGAGCTGGGACAGAGCAACGGGAGCTCACCCCATTGCACGGATTTGAACCACTGACCTTCCAATTGGCAAGCCCAAGAGGCTCAGTGGTTTAGACCACAGTGTCACTCGCGTCCAATAGTAATAGTAATTGGTAATAGTATTACAAATAGTAGTAGTAGTAGTAGAATATGCCCAAAGAGAATAATAGTCTCTTCATTCATAGTCTCTTGCACATTGATTCATTCATTTAGAATTTTGATGCAACATTCAGCTTTTGCTCTTTTTTTTTTTTTGGCAGGCTCAAAGCATCCATAGAAAATAACACTGCTGAATGCAGTGATGCATTTGGTGTTGTAAGTGGGCACTTGGAAACTGTTCCATATGCTTCTGCCAGCGCTCCACCAGCTACCTTTCCTTGTGGCTCCAGAGAGTCAGAACGACCTCAGCCATGCCAATTTGATCTGAGTTTCTGGAGCCTGTAGTTGGGAATCACAGCTTGTCATGAGAACCTCTGTTGCCTTTGTTAAATGCTCCGGGACAATCGCGGCAGATGGATGGAATGCATCTCTCCCTGAAAGCTCCCTCTGAAAGGCCAGTGCCAGGAGGCAGCCATACAGGGGCAGCTGTCTCGTAATATGTTCTGCTGGCTGGTTGTGAAGCTGGGCTGACATGGTTATTGAAGGTCCTGGCAGGTAAACAAAGCAAGGCAGAAATCCCTTCTCCCACTAGAGCCCTGCAGTCAATATTGTGTTCTACTGCGGATGGAGGGACAGAAGCTCTGACAAGGGTTTTTATTATTATTACTACTATTTATTTATATTGTCGAATGAGTCTCGCCAACTCGGAAGAACATTTCCTACACATGCATAGAATTTTAGGTTTCTAGGTGGCAGTGGCATAGATCCTTGCTTTGAGGACTGAGTACTGAGAAGTACTGTTTTGGGGGGACAGGGGGCAGGCTGGTGTGGAGGACTCCCTAGTCCTGAATGGGGTAACTGTGCCCCGAAGGAGCAGCTGCGCAACCTGGGAGTCATTTTGGACTCCCAGCTGTCCATGGAGGCACAGGTCAGTTCTGTGTCCAGGGCAGCTGTCTACCAGCTCCATCTGGTACGCAGGCTGAGACCCTATCTGCCTGCGGACTGCCTCGCCAGAGTGGTGCATGCTCTAGTTATCTCCTGCTTTGACTACTGCAATGCACTCTACATGGGGCTACCTTTGAAGGTGACTCGGAAACTACAACTAATCCAGAATGCAGCAGCTACAGTAGACTGGTGACTGGGAGTGGCCACCAAGACCATATAACACCAGTCTTGAAAGACCTACATTGGCTCCCAGTACGTTTCCGAGCACAATTCAAAGTGTTGGTGCTGACCTTTAAAGCCCTAAATGGCCTCGGCCCAGTATACCTGAAGGAGCGTCTCCACCCCCATCGTTCTGCCCGGACACTGAGGTCCAGCGCCGAGGGCCTTCTGGTGGTTCCCTCACTGCGAGAAATGAGGTTACAGGGAACCAGGCAGAGGGCCTTCTTGGTAGTGGCACCTGCCCTGTGGAACACCCTCCCTTCAGATGTCAAGGAAATAAACAGCTATCTGACTTTTAGAAGGCATCTGAAGGCAGCCCTCTTTAGGGAAGTTTTTAATGTTTGATCTTCTATCGCTATTATTATTATTCTATTGGGAGCCACCCAGAGTGGGTGGGGTATAAATAAATTATTATTATTATTATTATTATTATTATTATTATTATTATTATTATTATCTTGCTTTCCTGTGTCCTGCTTCCTTAGGACCGAGACTTCATCATGACCTTTAACACATCGCTGCATCGCTCATGGTGGATGGAGAACGGGCCTGGTTGCCTGGTGACCCCGGTGATGAACTCCAATCTGGCCCTCGAAGACCATCACGTCATCACAGTCACTGGGTGCTTGCTTGATTATCAGTATATTGAGGTGGTGAGCAGTGCAATGCAGATATTCCTTGCGGTAGGTGGTACCAGCATCCGTCTCCAGCTGACTCTTCCACCACACTGATCCCTAAAAAACAACTGAGACACTGAAGGTGATTCTGCCCACTCGTGTGTAACAAATTTCACACCCATAAACACTAGATTTATAGAACGGGTTTGCTTCTGATTCCTTTTTTTTTTTTTTTTTGGTCCGGGGAGCCAGAGAGGTCTTCTGGCTAGGAAGAGCATATTAAAATGTCTGTATTTATTTGTTTACTTTCGACTTAAAAAAAAAAATCTGCCAAGAAACCAAGCATTCCATTTCAGTTCCCTGGCACTTTGTGTTACTAGCAGTCTCCAATTTGTTCCCTGCAAAAAAAAGCAACAACCACCTGTCCCTGGGAAGGTGAGTCTGGAGGTGTGGATAAATTTGAGGGGCTTCAAGCCCTATCCTAGCAGTTTGAAAGCACCTCAAAGTGCAAGTAGATAAATAGGTACCGCTCTGGCGGGAAGGTAAACGGCATTTCCATGCGTTGCTCTGGTTTGCCAGAAGCGGCTTAGTCATGCTGGCCACATGACCTGGAAGCTGTACGCCGGCTCCCTCAGCCAATAAAGTGAAATGAGCGCCGCAACCCCAGAGTCAGCCATGACTGGACCTAATGGTCAGTGGTCCCTTTACCTTTTATGTTTAAGCCCTATCCACCCATCCCCCAGTTGAAAAAAAAGTCATCAAAATAAAAATTAATTTCTTCACCAGACACTTGACAGTTTATTTCTAGATCAATTAGTCATGTTGAGTTCAGTTCCTAAATCCCTGGCATGAGAAAAAAAGGAAACAGTGATCCTGTCTAGAATGAAAGATGCAGAAGGTTGAGAAATGGACTGTGGGATAAACAATTGGGTTGCAGTCGTCTCTGCACACTTACCTAGGAGCAGTGGCGTAGCGTGGGTTGTCAGCACCCGGGGCAAGGCAAGTAATTTGCGCCCCCTAACCCGTGGATTTTAGCACTTGAGTGCGAGCGCCCCCCCCAGATGTTGCGCCTGGTGCGGCCGGCCCCCCTGCACCCCCCACGCTACGCCACTGGGAACAGCTAAGGGAGCTGGGCATGTTTAGCCTGGAGAAGAGGAGGTTAAGGGGTGATATGATAGCCATGTTCAAATATATAAAAGGATGTCACGTAGAGGAGGGAGAAAGGTTGTTTTCTGCTGCTCCAGAGAAGCGGACACGGAGCAATGGATCCAAACTACAAGAAAGAAGATTCCACCTAAACATTAGGAAGAACTTCCTGACAGTAAGAGCTGTTCGACAGTGGAATTTGCTGCCAAGGAGTGTGGTGGAGTCTCCTTCTTTGGAGGTCTTTAAGCAGAGGCTTGACAACCATATGTCAGGAGTGCTCTGATGGTGTTTCCTGCTTGGCAGGGGGTTGGACTCGATGGCCCTTGTGGTCTATTCCAACTCTATGATTCTATGATTCTATGAGGCTGTGTCAGATAGGGTGGAAATTTCATCCTTTCTGTCCCTCACATGGGAAACCGAAAAACACCCTCTCAGAATTAACTAGGGACCAGGATTACCAAAGCCCCATTCTCCCTGCAACCGCTTCGGTATCTGGTGGGCACCCAGTGAAATTATTTCCAACCACAAAGTCCAATACAAAGTATTTTTGTGGTAGGGAAGGAGTTTCAGCTTTGCCTTGTGGGCTGTTCCTCCAAGCTGTCTTTGCGGCGCGTAACAGCCTGGAAGAGAATCAGCGAGAGGATCTTTAGAATTCAGTGCAAATTGAATTTCACCGGAATAGCTCGGAGGTGCTGGCAGCCCGCTTCCCTCCCCCCCACCCCGCTTTTTCGTTTTCTAAACAAGTGATCGGACTCTTCCCCTCCCCTCAGCCCCATGAAACAAGTCCCCAGCGCGAAAAGAAATAATAATTAAAAAAAAGAAGAAGATAACAAGGACGGGTTGTTTTCCAGAGCGAGGTGGAAGCCGCCCATCGCAAGGGCAGAATCTCTGCGGTGCGTAATTACGCGCGGCTTGGAGAGCTCTTTTCCCCCCATTACCCGGGCCCTAGCGGTGCCCGCGGCAAGGTGAGGTTCTCCCTCTCCGGCAGGCGCCTCTGCGCGCCTTCACCCCATTCTCCAGCCCCGCCACATCTGGGAACATCATTAAGGAGTCGCCTCTGCAGCTCAGGAAGTTTTCACACTTCACGTTTCATTAAACGCAGGTCTTCTCGGATTCCTTGGGAAAGGGAGAAGCGGGAGAGAAAGGGGAGAGGCGCTGGGCGCGGGTCGGGGGGAGAGCGCCTGATTTGCAGCTGTTGGGCTTTCAAAGCCAAATAAAACGGCCAGTCTGCGGAGCGCAGCCGCAGCGGCGGTGGGGGGCACGCGTGCGCTAGGGCGCAAGGCTGGCGGTGGCGGCGGGGAGCCCGGCGGAGGAAGGAACTTGTCCCTTCCCTCTGGACTCGCGCCCCCCGCAGATGTTGCGCCCGGTGCGGCTGGCACCCCTGGCACCCCCCACGCTACGCCACTGCCTAGGAGTAAGTCTGCTGTATTCCGTGGGGCATCCTTCTGAGCTGACATTCCTTAAAATACAAGCAAGGAGATTCTTAAAAAGAAATAGCACAAAGGCAAGATTTTTGGTGGGGTTTTTTGACAAATGAAGGAGGGCAAAGACACAGGGAAACACACACAGGGAAATGAACACAGTGCAAAAATAATTGGTATTGAGAGAGCAAATCATATGTCCTAGAGGATGGAAAGCAAGAATGAAAAGCAACAGACCCAGAACTCAACCTTGAGGTTAAGGCCAAACTGCTAGCTATGCTGGAAGATGTTTTATTGATATTGTTTCCCTTACGAAATGCGGTTGTGGAGGCTCCTTCTTTGATCAGTGAAGGAGGGGTGGGGGAGCGATTGATCCTCTCTCTCGTACTGTTTTCCTCTAAATTATGAGCGCACAGCTCCTGTTTTTAACCGGTGTGCAGTGGCTTCTGGTGCACCTTGGAGCTCAGTTCAAGGGTGCTCGTGAAAATGGCTTGGGACTAGGATGCTTAAGGAGAACCATTATTTCCTGCATCTATCTTTCTCAAACATTTAAGATCTGCATCAGGTTGTTGTTCTTGTTGTTACAAATTATTACCTGCCTGTCACTCTAAGGTCCCAGGGCAGGTTACAACAATTAAAATACAACATTAATTTTAACAATGCAGCATTACACAATACTAAAACAAAACGTTTTTGTGACTGACATTGACTTTTTCAGGTTCTTCTAGTAACCCTTAGGCTTGATTGTTGCAATACCTCTAGCTCACATGAGAGTAAACTAGGCCAGGCCTCTTTTTAAGTTGTAGATAATTTTGGTGGCGTCTAACTTGCCCAGAGGGGTGCTCAGCTGGCACCAGGCTTGTGCAGAACTTGTCTGAGGCCCAAGGCCAGAGTCCCCAATCAGCTGGAAGGGACGGGCTGGTGTACCGGCCATAGCTGGCAAAAGGCACCCTCAGACATTGCCATCCCCTGAGCGTATAAAAGCAGCAACAGGTCAAGGAGCATCCTTCAGCCTGCAGACCTGATTCGGGATGGGGGGGGGGAGAGGAATGCACAGGATTTAGCTGGGCCTGGATATCAGCACATTTAATGCACACACAAAAAATAGTAATCTGCAGGTTGATTCCTTTGTTAAAGCTGATTGGAAAGTCACAGAGAAGCAAGCAAGCTTTGGAATTCAGTACAGTGGTACCTCTGGTTGCAAACAGGATCCGTTCTGGAGGCCCGTTCACAACATGAAAAGAGCGCAACCCACAGTGGCGTGTCTGCGCAACCGTGGGTTGCGATTTGCCGCTTCTGCGCTTGCGTGTGACGTCATTTTACGCTTCTGCGCATGTGCGAGCGGCAAAACCCGGAAGTAACCCTTCCCAGTACTTCCGGGTCACCGCGGGACATGACCTGAAAGAATGTAACATGAAGTATGACTGTACAGTAGTAAACAACAACAACAACAACAACAACAACAACAACAACAACAACAACAACAACAACAACAATTTATACCCCACCCATCTGGCTGGGTTTCCCCAGCCACTCTGGGCAGCTCCCAACAGAATATTAAAAACATGATAAAACATTACACATTAAAAACTTCCCTAAACAGGGCTGCCTTCAGATGTCTTCGAAAAGTCAGAGAGTTGTTGATTTCCTTGACATCTGATGGGAGAGCGTTCCACAGGGTGGGCGCCACTACCGAGAAGGCCCTCTGCCTGGTTCCCTGTGGCTTCACTTCTCGCAGGGAGGGAAGTGCCAGAAGGCCCTCGGAGCTGGACCTCAGTTGTAGTTGTAGTATCTGGGTCACCTTCAAAGGTAGCCCCATATAGAGCAGATTGCTGTAGTCCTAGCGGGAGATAACTGCTCTTCATCCATTGTGTGGGTTGTTCAACAACAACAAAAAGCCCAAACAAACAACGGCAACAAAAATGGGAGTGGGGAGTGGGTTTAGGGAAGTAAAAGATTCTCCTGGACTAGATCAATAGCGCAATCCTATGCATGCCTAGTCAGAAGCAAACCCCCTTGAGTTCAATGGGATTTATTCTCCACGTGTGGTCCCAGTAAGCACAATACATCTCAGCCAGCATTTTCTTGCCCCAATCCCTGGCTTTTGTTTCTGATACCCAGCTGAGGAAGAGTGCTCATGAACTCCAAAACTGGCTCGCTTCTCTTTCACTTTGAAGTTGGGCCCAATCATGGTATTGCTCTTGATCTTGTTTTGATCTTGGGGGCCAATTGGCTGCCTGCGATTTTGCGTGTGCGATTTGAATAAGCTATTCAGCCTCATCTTGACCATTTCTGATTCTCGCCGAACTGCCGCTGCTTTTTCCTTGCTTTCAAATAATTCGCTTTCCCCCCTCTTTTTTTCTTCCTTTTCTTTTCTTTTCAAAAAATAATTTTATATTTTGAAGCTCTTCGGATTTGTTTACGCCTGCTACGTCAGCAAAGTGTTTATGGAGGAAGAAGACAGCTGTAAGTACCTTTCATCTACTAATAATTGGAGATTACTTGGCTATGGAGTACTCCATTTAGGGGTAGAGGGAGTGTGGCATGTAGCTCAAACTGTTTATATGACGCAGTAATCAAATATGGTTCAAATGCCACCTTGGTGGCCTAGCAGGGATTTTGAACCTGCTGTTGTTGTTTAGTCATTTAGTCGTGTCCGACTCTTTGTGACCCCATGGACCAGAGCACGCCAGGTACTCCTGTCTTCATTTTGAACCTAAGGTAAAGGTAAAGGTAAAGGTACCCCTGACCGTACGGGCCAGTCTTGACAGACTCTGGGGTTGTGCGCCCATCTCACTCAAGAGGCCGGGGGCCAGCGCTGTCCGGAGACACTTCTGGATCACGTGGCCAGCGTGACAAAGCTGCATCTGGCGAGCCAGCGCAGCACACGGAAACGCCCTTTACCTTCCCGCCAGTAAGCGGTCCCTATTTATCTACTTGCACCTGGGGGTGCTTTCGAACTGCTAGGTTGGCAGGCGCTGGGACCGAGCAACGGGAGCGCACCCCGCTGCGGGGATTCGAACCGCCGACCTTTCGATCGGCAAGCCCTAGGCGCTGAGGCTTTTACCCACAGCGCCACCCGCGTCCCCTCATTTTGAACCTAGGTCTGCCCAATTTAAATCCATCATACTTATTAACCCATGGGTAGGCAAACTAAGGTCCGAGGGCTGGATCCAGCCCAATTGCCTTCTAAATCTGGCCCACGGACGGTCTGGGAATCAGCGTGTTTTTACATGAGTAGAATGTGTCCTTTTATTTAAAATGCATCTCTGGGTTATTTGTGGGGCATAGGAATTCGTTCATTTTCCCCCCTTCAAAATATAGTCCTGCCCCCCACAAGGTCTGAGGGACAGTGGACCAGCCCCCTGCTGAAAAGGTTTGCTGACCCCTGACCGCTACCCTAGATGGACTCCCTGTGTTTTGTGGGTACCAATTCGTGTGGGGTTGGTAGTAAACAGGGAGATAAAAGCTTCTTTTATTTATTACATTTATACTTCACTTACCCTTCAAAGAAACTCAAGATGGTGCCTGTGGTGCTTTCCCCTCACACTCTCCCCACAACAATCCTGTGAGGTGGGTTTTGAGAGAGGAAAAAGACACCACATTCCAGCAGGCAGAAGCTAAAGGTTTCTACATTCCTCCCCTTCCAATTCTCTCCATCCAGACAAGCAAGGACACATTCCAATGAGGCGAAACCACTGGGGCAGCACAGCAGGGCCTGGGGAGAGTCCTGGGGGCCACACAGAGAATCCTGAGGGGCCACATTAGCCCTACGGGCTGGATTTCCCCACTTCTGTTCAATGCCATTCACCTCCGATGCCTGCGGAGGAAGGCTGGAGTCCCAGTTTGCAAAAGAACAATGAATGTATCCTCTAGCACGGTTAATTCGAAAATGTTTCTGCAAGCAAATCACCCTGCCAGCCTGTGGCTCATGTTCAGATAACATTCTAAATAGATGTAGCGGAAAATTAAAACCTTTTGTGTAAAACAGGACACTGCCTAGCCATTGTAATAAGTTGCTTGGAATATATTTGAAGCTGGCAGAGGCTTATTTGCTCCTGATAGCTTCCAAACGGCAGCATCTGACACAAATGAAATTATTAATAAAGTTTACACATGAAAAAACCCATTTAGGGAGCAGCAAATTATACGTATCCTCCTACTCAGAGCTTGGAATACAGGCGGAAGCTGGTCCTTCCCTGCATGTTTGTCTTTCCTAACAAACTTCAGAGAGAGCTCTCGGCTTTGACAGTCATTCATTTAATTCCAAATCTAATCAGACAGTCCATTATAGAAGAAGAGACTCAAGCTCAGCTATGGCAAAATTAATATTAGAAGTGTAACAGAAGCAGCTCTGAATGCCTCTCACACAATATGGGATGGAAAGTCAGAAGACCAGGCTGGAAAGGGGGACATCATTGCTCTATCTATGTATCTATATTGCAAAACATTTTTAAAAACAGTACAGCGGTACCTTGGTTCTCAAACTTAATCCATTCCGGAAGTCCGTTCCAAAACCAAAGCGTTCCAAAACCAAGGTGCGCTTTCCCATAGAAAGTAATGCAAAACGGATTAATCCGTTCTAGACTTTTAAAAACAACCTCTAAAACAGCAATTTAACATGATTTTTCCTATCTAACAAAACCATTATGAAAGCAATAATCATTGTATTGGACTGTAAAATAAATAAGACAGTATTTAATGTAGATGATAAAAATTTAAATTATTATTTTCTTACCTGCACTGATGATCGTTATTGTTTGGATGGGGGGCTTTTATCCATTTCCGCAGTGATACAATCAATCAATCAATCAGTAGCTGAACTGGGTTCCACACAGTCACAAAAACAAATTAACCGAAAGAGTCTCAAAAACGAAAAACACAAAATAAATAGCAAAAACAAAAGTGCCAAACTTAATCCGTTCCGTAAGTCCACTCGACTTCCAAAATGTTGGAAAATGAAGGCGCAGCTTCTGATTGGTGCAGGCGCCCTGGAAACAATAGCCAACAGCCGCATTGGACGTTCGGCTTCCAAAAAACGTTCAAAAACCGGAACACCTACTTCCGGGTTTTCGGCGTTTGAGTAACAAGGTGCCACTGTAATGTCAAGGCTGCCAGAAATAGTGTCTTTCAGCCATCAAATTCATGAGAAAACAGATGTTTTTTAAATTCCTCTTGAAAGACAGTAACGAAGGAGACATATGCACCTCATTTGTCTTTCTTTCCCCCAAAGAATCCTGGGAGTTGTAGTTTGCCCCCACTCACCAAGCTATACTTTCCAACACCCTTAACCAACTACGGTTCCCAGGATTCTTTGGGAGGGGTCAAGCACTTTAAAAATGCATGGCGTGTCTGCAGCCTCCGCTGCCACGCTTTGTGTGTTGCTGCTTTTGTTGTTTGGTCTGTTGAACCTGAGCTGTTTGATATGAATGCTTACTCCTCGTTTTTCACCCCTCAGTTGATTTCATTGGGGGATTTGATTCATATGGCTACCAGGCACCCCAAAAGATGTCACACTTGCAGCTACAGCCTTTGTATACGTGAGTATCTCTCATTTGTTGGGATCAGGGATGCATGTGGGCTGCTAGAAAATGCCCTTACCTACATCCTCTTCCCTCTGTGTTGAGAGAAGCGATATGTGTCCCCTTCACTAAACACTGCACCTATCCTGCCACTGACACTATGGGCTGCCATATGAGGGTGAAATGTTCAATGGGGAGGGGATGCACATCAGTCCATGAAATTTATGTGAGATATTGAACCACCTGCAATCTAAGCCACATGTAAACACAACCACCCTATTTATTTAAACCAGATTTATATACTGCTTGATCATCAAAAGCAGTGTATATAAGATATCAAATTATTGATAAAATCAGATGTTGGAAACAAGTTAGCCTTTAAGCACCTCTTATAGATTGACACAGACAGTCCTGAGCTCTGACGCTTAGGGATGTATTCAACTTAAGTTTTACTCAAGAGTAGACCCATTGAAATTAATGGGCCTAGCAGAGTCCTCTCCATCAATTTCAGTGGGTCTGCTCTAAGCAAGACGAGCGCTGGATACGACGCTTAATTTTTAATACCGTTTTTAGGAAATTGCATTGAATGCCATTGGGTGTATCTTTTAAACAGTTTTTATGTAAAGCGCTTAGAACTGTCTAGCATATAAAAATATTGTACATAAATAAGAATGAATGACTGAAGGCATGAAAAAAATTGAATGGGCCCTGTTTCATTCAGGTTTTTTGAATGGTTCTGAATTTAACTCACTGCCCTAAATGGTGTTTGCTGAAGCTTTGTTGCCAGCCCTGGACTAAATCTGATGCCTTTGCTCTGTTTTGCTCTTTTAGCTCTGGATAACTGTTTCCTTAACTACAGTGAGCTGGCCCCTGGGGACGTTTGCAAAAAACGCAAGGCAAGCAGGGTGCCGAATATGATAAAATGATTCCAAAGCCAAATGGCAGTCACCTCCTCTGGAGATCTGGTGTGGCCTGAAATCCCGCCCAGAGACAACACAGTGACCCTTCCTGGGTTCATTTCCTCCCCTCCTTTCTCTTTAACTCCTTCATTTGAGTGGCCACAGAGAGTTTTCATGCACCTGGAAGATGATTCTGGCACAAGTTCTCTCTGCTCAAGACTGAGGAACCAAAAAGAAGCTCGACGCTCCACCTGCTGGCCAGTGTTTGTAGTGGTGCTGGTAACTCCAGCGAATTTTTTAAAAAGGAAAATCAAGCAAGGGCAATATTATGTTCCAGAGAGGGCAAGGAAAAGCCCTATTTTTAAGGAAGACCTTTTTCGGGTTTTGAAGTGTTGCTCTTTATTTCTTTTTTTTTTTAATTGTTCCGGATCACTTCCTGTTGTCCCATTTGCTTCTGAGCAAATGGCTTTGCAATGTGGCACAGGCTGCGAGAGAATCCATACATTGCAATAAAGAGTGAGATAGATATATATCTGACATCTGGAAAGGGGAGGCTTCATTAGGTCTGAAATCTGTTCTTCCCACTCCCAGCCCCCGTACACCCAAGGCTTCCCAATCCTGTTCACTATTTAAATGAGCATCAGTTAAAAATCCAACTCCTGATAAATGCAGGAGAAGAAAAAATAGTTCTTTGATCATGGAGACAGAATTGAATATATGCGTACTGTAGCAAATGTGTGGGTTTATTTCTGAGCTGGTATTGCATCCCAATGCTTCCAAGTTTATATGTGAGAATCCAGTGGGAGCTATTCCATTAGGCCAAAAGGGGAGGTGCCTCACCAACCTCAGCCTGCCCTCAGCCAGCCTCTCCTTCGTCTCAGTATTGTCCCTTGTAGAACTCAGCAAGGAGGACGGGAGCCAAACCTAGAATTAGTTGCCTGTGGCTGTCTTTGGCTCTGGCTCTGGCTGCTGTGGCTGGCTCTGCCCACCATTAGTCCCCTTGTCCTAACAGTCCCAATGGGTACCAGCCACCACTGGGAGACATAGTGTTTCCAAGAGGGTCCTGAGAACCATTTCCGGGAACACGATAAATGCCTTCCAAAGGGCCAGAATCTCATCAGCTGGTTTCTCTTTCTTATTTTCTTTCTGTAAATTGGTGGTGCAGAACCCTCTTTCCTCCAAGTGCCCTACTTTCTCAACATCTCAGTGCTGGACGCTGCAGGGTCAAGAATTTTTGCAGCCTTCTCTAACCTGGTGCTCTCTAGATGCTGCTGGCCTACAACTCCCATCATCTGGGACCACTGGTGGAAATGGAGATCTAACAACATCTGGAGAGCATGGTAGGGTGAGGAAGGCTGCCGTAAGTTTTCATAGCCTCTATCTATCTATCTGCCCAAACACACAAAAGCTTGTTCAGAATTGGTCGCAGTTGCCTCATTCTGACACCAGGCAGTTCCCAGTAGTGGCTGGTGGCACTCACCTCCCATCACCAGCATCACTGTAGCTTACCAGGCATAGGCCACGGTAAGGGTGGTGCAGTGCAAATGCACCAGTAAAGAACACCAGATTGACTCTAGTAGTGTGTTTGCACCACACAGGCATTGCCACAGCCGTGCCCTTCTTTTTCCCGCTAAGCTGAAGGTCAGGTAAGCACCACTCCCACCATGTGCTGACCACCATTGCCAGTCCTTGTCACTCCAAACTAAAGTCATCGCTACCAAGCCATGTTCATAATGCCATTATATTCCCAGGTGTGGGCTTCCAAGGAAAAAGTTCTCATTTAGCTCTTCAACATTAAAGTTGTGGTTTTAGTCATGTATTCCTATTTACAAAAATTCTCATCCTGAGGTTGGAAGCCTCGGTTATTGTTTCACGCATACTTTTTCTTGTAAAGCTCCATACACAGAGCAGTCCCATTGAAATTGATGGACCTAACTTAGACATGGTCATTACTTTCAGTGGGTCTTCTCTGAGTAGGACTAGCATTGGATACACCCCATACCATTTCAATACCCACTGCGTATGCCTGACTTCCTTCCCACTTCACTATGCAAAAGACCGATAGACATGCGAACACCCTGCCAATTTAGTCATCAGTTTCCCCTTACCTTTGGATGAACTGTCTACCTTTTTTGGTTTATATCACCATTTCTGCATATTCAGTCACATGCTCCTTCATTGCCTCCTTTTTTAATATAGTGGGGGGGGGGTTAAACAAAAATATCAAAGCTGTTCTGGGGATGTTGGAGTAAGGATATATTCAAGATGCTTAAGTACTAGCCAATCCATGCTGTGCACATTCAACTTCTGCAGACTTGAACTGTGAACTAAACCCTCACATGAGAATTGTCCATCTCACCCCAACACAAGTGTGCATCCTGAGCCACTCCAGTAAGGTTTCATTTGAACACAGCTAAAATGTGACCTCCTGTGGTTAAATAAAAATAGAACCCATTCCTCTCTCTCAGAGAAGTGTTTCCACTCAAGGAAATCAGTGGAGCCAAATAACAAACACTGTGAATGATAGGGCAGGTGCTTAAGACCCAGAAAGTGATGAGCCTGGGGCTTGAGGATGCCTAGTGGCACTAGCCTTTCCTGGAAGCTCTGTCTCCTGAAGCCAGCCTTCCTGAAGCTGATGTGCTCCAGATGTGGTTGAACTCCATCTCACATTAGCCCCAGGCTGTATGACCAGTGGTCAGGGATGATGGGAGCCGCAGTCCAACAACATATGGAGGACAGCAGGTCGAGAAAGACTGCTGGAAGGTATCCCCCCTAATCTCACTTGTGATGGTGTGAGCAGTAGTTATTCATTCCACAGTGGAAGAAATGCAGTCAGTACTTGCTCAGGAATGCCTTGAACTGCCATAATGCATTAATGCAGGACGGAGAGCTGGGTATGTACGAACCTATAATTTTTTTGCAGCTGGAACATAGCATACTGTACAGAGGTAGGCGTTCCATCCGTTGCTCACCCACTTTGGGCCTCTTGCCCCACCCACCACTGCCAACCCACACCCACCACCAATAAAGTTCCTGCCCTCAGATTGAAAAAGATTCTAAGCAGTTAGATTAGATACTGCAAGGCTAGATCCTTTTCTAGACCTGCCTTCCCCCAATTTTTGGTGCCCTCCAGACGTTGGCGTACTGCAATTTCCATCATTCCCAACTGTAGACAGTCCTGGCTGGGTCTGAAAGGAGTTGGAGGCCACCCAGTTGGTGTGTCTCGTTCATATGGTTAATTCTGCACCAAACATAACTGTGGCCTAATAATATGGCTGACTGCCAGCCTTTCTTTGCAATGCTGAATATCTCCCATATCATGAGCATGGCACATAGAGCATGGCAAATAGAGACAATAAATGGGGACCTATAAACCCGAAGTATGTGTGTGCACGCACACTGAAGTCTGCTCCTTTTGCCTGCCTGCAACTGGTATTTCTGGAAGAAAAGTCCCTGTGCCATCAGTTTCTTTTCCCCATTACCCAAATATACCTGATATAAGATGCTTGGCAGTGCATCCTGCCTTAGCCAGTCTGGGGCAAGTTGAGCAACTGGAACAGGCTTTCAGCATCACTTCTAGTAATATATTCCCCACTGGCTGAAAACTCTGCTCAGAGTTTTGTCCTGCTGAACTGGACAAAAGAATGTGGGAATCTCCTGATATGGGGGCAAGATGCGGCAGCTGTAGGAATTAAGTTTTTGAATGAAAGATTGTGGTTTTCCCCAAAGCCCATCTCAAGCTATCCATTTCCCTTTCATTTGCAATCCATGTCCCTTCACTCTCTACCAATCTGATTTGTAAAAAGGCAGCAATCACAAGTGTTACTGGGGAGTAAACCCCACTGAGCCCACTGGGATTTCCTGCTGAGTAAACATGCATAAGATTGCACTGTGAAGCATGGAAATAAGGAAGGGGCAGAAGAGTTGTCCCTATTGGCTGTCAGAGCAGCTTCTCCTTATATCAGATTCAAGGTGAGCATTCTCAGGACTGAAAAAAGGGAAATACTCTTGCCCCCACCCTCCAGCTCAAAGAGAAGGAATTTTATAATGAAGATAAATTTATTGCAGTTTCCCCAACATGTAGCTAGGATGATCAGGTGCAAACAGAGAACAGGGTTTGTGCAATGTTAGCAGTTGTTTCTTGCCATGCAAACTAATCCTGCTGAAATTGCTTCCTCTATAAGCAACTATTAAAGGTGCAAGAGCCCCTGTCTTCTTTGGCACACTGAAACCAACATAAATTTTGCACAAAATAACTTTTTTTAAAGCAACATTTCAGTAGTTTTCTTTTTGAAGCAACTTTAGAACAATTTATTATAAATTTTATTTTTAAAGCTTTGAGGGCTACTTTTTTAAAAGCAAATACTGATGAATTGTAATGCAATAATGTTAAGTTCGAGTTTGAAAATTTCAATGCTTGTGCACCTTGTTCTTCCAACCACCACCCCTGAAACCTCTTAACATCAAAAGGGATTCACAATTGGGAATGATGTGACAGGGAGGGAGGAAGGCGGACATAAATTAGAGCTCTCACCTGTCTTGCAGCACATTTATTTCATTATTTCCTTTCTCCCAAATAAGTGTGCATAGGTTTGCATCCTTTACTGATTAATAGCAGGAGGTTTTGTCAATGGAGTAATAAGTTGAGTCAATTGGAATATGTGGCAAAACAGTAGTTCTAAAGCAGGAAAAACAACAACACATGTTTTATCCATGCATCTGTTGTATTAGAAGAGATTTTCCTTTCTGGGTGAAAGGAACAGGGGCTGCCTCTTCTTGCCACCAGCAAGAAGTATTCGTATTAAAAAGTCAATGTGCAGTTGACCTAGGACTGGGGAGCCCAGGGTTCAAATTCCCATTTGGCCATGGTTGTTTTGGCCGGTCTCTATTTCTCAACCTAACCTACCTCATGGTATTGCAGCCAGGATAAAATAGGAGGGGTTTTTTGGGGTGGGGTGGGGGGAGAGAGACTACATACAGAACATCACCTTGAGCTCCTTGGAGGAAAGGGAGCATAATATAAACGAAACAAGCATAAAACCAACAAGTAAAAATGATAATACTTCTTTTAAACAAAACTGCCAGGTTAATCAGGGCTACTTGTTTTTTAGTTGGTCCAAAAGTTTTTAATCAATCTAAACCATGGCTTGGGAAGAGCTGCTCCTCACCCCTTCCAAGGTAGACTGGGGCTGATGACACTAGGAATCCAACAACAAAGTAGTTGCTTGTTCATTTCCAGGCCCAGTTCAAGGTGCTCACATTAGCGTTTAAAGCCTGAAATGACTTGAGGCCCCAAATACCTGAAAGAGTGCCTCCTTTTGGGTGTTAGGCCCTAGTGTTGGTTCCACCAACCTCAGAAGCTCAGGGCTGTGTGTGTTTGTGGTCTGCAGCAGCCCCTCGGTTGCAGAACTCCATCCCTACAGAGGTGCATCTGGCCTTCTCATTATACAGTGATTGCTGGAGACACATCTCTTCACCCTGGCTTTTGACACCTGAGTTGTATACTGTTAGAACCCACCTTTCTTCTGTGATAGTTGTGTTGAACCTTTTTTAACATTGTGTTTCACCTTAGGGTGAAGGGTGGGGTGATGACGATGATGATAAAAATAACTAACCAACTAACTAACTAACTAACTAACTAAATAAATAAATAAATAAATAAGGCACGGGTTTTCCCATCCCCAATCTAATGCAAATATTGCAGTCCTTATAGAAATGGTTGCAAGCCAGTTCAAGTTAGAAAAATTTCCCTGCAAATCCACACGCACATCATTTCCTCTCTCTCTCTGGACTTATAAATCTCCTTCACATTACTTCCCCAGGTTGTTTCAGTAGCATATTTATAGTATTATCATGTTTGATCCTTGTGCGTCTCCCAATCTTCCACTGAAGAGCTCCAAGTGCCTTAGGAGAACAGAAAGCTGCCTTAGACCGGTTCACACTATTTGTACATCTAGACCTTTTACTCAATCCTTTGCTCACCTGGTGCCCTCCAGAAGTTTTGGTCTACAGCAGTGATGGCCAATCTTGGCCCTCCAGCTGTTTTGGGACTACAATTCCCATCACCCCTGACCACTGGTGCTGTTTGTTAGGGATGGTGGGAGTTGTAGTCCCAAAACAGCTGGAGGGCCAAGTTTGGCCGTCAGTGGTCTACAGCTTTCATTAGCCTCAGCCAGCAAAGCCATGTCAGCTACGGGAAGGCAAGGTTACCTGTTTGTTTATACTCCATTTCTGCTAATACATTGAAGGCGGTTTCCAATTCAAAGTGACGGCTGGTAATTAATTAGCCTATTCTGATTCAATGCCTATGGGGAAGATATGAACATAGGAAGCTTCCTTTAGAATGAGTCCATCTAGCAGCATGTTATTTATGCACATTTGCAGTGGTTTCCCAGGGTTTCAGACAGGAGACTTTGCCAATCCTACCTGGAGATGCCAAGGATTAAACATGGGTCCTTCTGCATGCAGCCTCTAACTCTAACCACTGAGATACATCAGCTCCCAAGATGAGATGGTGATATTTTTTGGCTCTTTGGATATGTGAGGATTCTTTAACTTGAGACCCTTGTGTGCGTTGGGGGATAACTAACATTCCCTCCAGGCGTTGTTGGACTACATCTCATCATCATTCTTGGCCATTGGCCCTGCTGGCTGGGACTGATGGGAGTTGTAATCCAATAACATTTGGAGGGTTCCAGGTCGACCACCCCTGATTTTACACAATAGAACTGTGCACAGGGATAGCACTTGATTCTTGGATAGGCTGAGTTCTGACTAGGGATGCTGTGCCAAAACCACACAGGACCCAGGA